TAGTTTGAATATAGCAAAACTAAAGAAAACATGCTTCATCCTCCCCCATGGCCTTCCGCTCCTAACACTCATTTTCGGTTTCCGAATCACTCTAATGGATAAATCCAAAATATTTTTCCTAAGTGTCATGTCCTTTTATTTTTCTTATTACAAGTAGACAGATAACTCACTAATCTTATGGATGCTGACCAACTAAGGCCGATCAAAAGAAGCTCAAATGTCCTAAATTCTTGCGAGTTGTTCAATGTTTTGTTTCCTTACCCTGAAAATTTTACAATATCCTCTTTCATATCCTCTGATTTGCTATTAGCCCTTACCATCTCTTAACCTTATATAATCTGACTTGTCTCTTCTAACCCTTACCATTAGTTATCTTCATAGTAGTACGATATATTAAATGGATATCTAACCCATAATACAAATGCTATTACCGTCTGATTCGCTTGTAACATGGAACTTGTAGAGACAGTGTATTCCAACTATGGTCCTTGATTAAAGCAATATTCATACTGACCACAAACGTAAGAAAGCCTAACATTATAAAAGGAGGGATGGAGGGTGGCGTTACTGACCAGCAAACATGATGGTGGGGAGATAACTTCAATCCACCCGTGTCTGTGGGGCAGAACATATTAATTACGGCTCCTTATGTCTAGTGGAATGTCACGAACCAACGGTATTGATGCGAAATTATTCACGAAAAATACCACTTTAGATCATGTTAAAAAAAGCTAAACTGGTTCCACTTCCTACCGAGTAATCCTATTACAAGCAAACCAGACAATTGGCTAAAAACGAAGTCCACTCTATACCCTATAAAATCTAAAAACTAAAAAGAGAGTTCAAACAGCTTCGAAAAAAGGGAGACAGCCATTTGTATCGTAATACCGTTTTCAGCACTTTATTTTATAATTACACAATTCCATACTTCCTTCTGAACTACCTTCATTTATACAGTTCCTTATCCACTCATACCTTGCCCACACTTGTTTTTCTTTAACACATTAGTATGTTCTTACCCAATAAATACTTCAGTAACGGACAAATAGACTAAATGGTTATACATTAACCATTCCTCCATGAATATTGTGTGCTCTGCTTTTCGTCCTTCGTTTTTCTTACACCTTCTTCAGCCTCCTGCAGATACTCCACCGAAAACAGATATGGCACGAGTGACTTCGTCTTACACTGTTATTAAAGCCTCAGATATTCTGGAGGGATATAAGTTCAAAACTTCTAAAAGCCCCCAACTTCGCATCTATCAATTCTCGACCACCAGTTGTAGGTTGCAACGCTACCTCCATAAAGTGCGCCAAGTGTGATATTGATATTGACATGTTTCTTATGAAATCCATTTGCATTCATATCTTTTAAAATATCAACCCAGCTGAGTAATTTTCAACAGTGAAAATTGTAACTTCTTTAACAATTAAATCTTGCCTGTAAACCGGCATGCCTCATGTAACAATCTGTTATTTGAGAATAAATTATTTTTATTATTTTTATTATTATTATTACTAGAAGGGTAGTTTATTTTAATGCACGATATGACTTCATGGAATTCATGTTACTAATAAATTTCGCTATAACTAGGGAGTATTTTTGCCAATCCAATCGGTGATGCAGAAGAAGTTGAGGGAATGGAAGACGAGGTATCATTGACCAGAGTGCTTGCCAATACCTGCAAAGATAATCGGTTTTCAAATACTGTGTTATGTGGTGGTTTCATATTTGCTTATCCTGTAACTTCTTCTTCCATCATTGCTAGCTCTTCCACGTATTTTGCTTGTCAGATCTGATGATCTACCTCACTTGATAGTTTGCTTCTTTGTATTCGGCTTGTGTCTTGACCTTTACTATTCTTGTTCTCCTGTTGTTATTGCTGTAATCTTTTCCTTACTTTCTTGAATCTTGTCCACGGTTTCGATAGAGATCCATTTCTTATGATGATTATGCTTCTTGTGGTCCAGCACTTCGTGACACGTTGAAGTTAGTGTTTCTCTGAGCCTTTCCAATTGTCATTCATGATAGTTTCCTCTTCTTTGAGTTGATCTTGTGATGCTTGTAGCCTGTCGTTGAGAGCTACATCGAATTCGTTTAGTTTATCAGTATCATCAGTATCAAATGATGGGTCCTAATTTGTGAAAGTCAACTCAAATATTGTTGAATGATTCTCCAATATCCACAATTCCGGTACTTGTCCTCAGAGAGCTGGTCAGACTCACTCGTGTACTGCTGAGCAATAGGGCTTCATACAAACCAAGTACACAAATGACAGATAATTCTTACCTAAACAGTAAAAAGAAGTGATCGCTTTTGAACGAATATATTATCAGACTGTGCAATCATTGATATACATGTTGTTTTATTGAGGTACTAGTTCCGTGGGGAAATGTGAACAAGGAATAACCAGGGCGATGTGACAGAAAAATTATAATACTAGACTCCGTAATACGAATGATAATAATAGACTTAATAATATATTAGCGAATTACGACATGAATGTAATAAGGTTATTAAAACTTTTTGTTTCAATAAATGTAGGTAATTAAAGGTAATTGAGGTGCGAAATAAAGTAAGCCACATCATGAGAAATTATAAATAAAACAATGAAAATATGATGCGTAAATAAAGCGAGAAATGTAATAATAATAATAAATTAGAGTCAAGGTAACGATAACAATAGGACGTACTTCGTTTGTACGTATAGTGTTGGCGTGACGTCATGAATGGCAAGAGCTTCGGCTATTTTTAGAAGTTGAGTACTAATAAACCTAAGTAGATTTAAACGACTCGTATATAAAACCTCGAAATCAGACTGTGAATCAGTAGATTGATTGCAGTCATCTAGATATGGAGCTATGGAACTTCTAACTGTTTTACTCTCACCTTTGAAGAACCACATTGGGGCATGTTCCTGTATACGGGTTGAAAGCGAGCGCTGGCCACAACCAATGTACCTTGCTCTACAAGAGAAGGTGAACCGATAGATGGACATGGAGACGACCAGATGGGGAAGCATATCTTCTATGTATACAGAAAGCAAGTTTCTACTGGTGAACCTTATTTGAAGTTCTGCCCTACAGAATGTTCTCCTCATTGCTTCCCGAAGACAATTTCTGATTACACCAGATGTTCGCTCGCCATTAAATTCCAAACTTATACATAGGTTTTTCTTTGGAACGAAACAACCGGATTCCTTGTCACGAGAACTTCTCTATGCATATGAAGCGGACTGGATAGCCATTTTTTGTCAGAGTTTTCCCGAGGTATGAGAGATCTTCGTCAATGCATTCTGTACTATATATCCGACTATTTGATAACATACAGAGTGAATAAGATTTCTCTTCCTGCTAAAAAACGTAGCTGTACAAGTTGGTCAGCTGGCCATTCTACAGGTATATTTGTCATTTAAGATGATAATAATGAATTAGAAGATATCTTACAATCGTTCAACATATGCCGCCCTTCCATAGACTTCACGTTAGAAAGTAAGCGAGAACAGTAATTTCCTTTTCTCTATGTGCGTTTGATGAGAAAGAAATGGTTCCTTAAAACGATGCATGTTCAGAAAACAAACACGGAAATCGGGCTCCATCATCAAAGTGAACCATTTCATACCAACCCATATGTCGAATGCCGTTTCAGAAACAGTTTGAGCGTCCGCAATGTTGGGAGGAATAACTCCTTATCGATTGATAAAGTGATTAACCCTATCTAAAATATACTTATTTCATAGGTTGGTCCAATAATATCAATCTCCACAATCTCGTCCCATTGATCTGCTTTCTTAATTACTAAGCGTGCATAAGATTCATCTATAGGGCTCTCAGTAATTTGATATGCCTTACAAGCTTCAACATATTCCCGTGTGTCTTTCTATTGTCCTGGTCATCAATATCCACGTTTTACGGTCGTCATCACTTTATTTTGGCTTCCTTACCCCGTTTTTGCATGTAATTTTGGTTATATGCTTTTGCATTTTCAATGTCGATTCCATGAAACTGAGCCCCCGTGCGTCCGATTACTCCTGACACCAAAGCAAATATATCACAAGACGTTTTAAGCGTTCTTCACGACATGTCCACATGCTCTGAGTTGGCAGCTCAAAAACAAAAGCGAAGTGTGACCTGTCTTTCTTCGATAAGCATTAATCTAGAATACAGAAACACAAGCTGACTGACCATAATTAGTGTACTCGAATAACTGAAATACCATTTACTGAACAGTACAAAATGCTTGAAATCGTGCTGAAACAACAAAAAGGGAGCGCAAAAATATTAATTAGTTTATGCAAGTTTGTGGCAAAAATTTCGGATATTGGATACTGAACATTGAGTTGAGGTTGTTTCCATTAGAAACGTCGTAGGAAATTACAAGTGGTGATTTGATTGTTCAGGTTACCGAATACGAAACCTGATCATACAAATTTCTTGTATTGAATATCGTTTTTTCTTTATCTTCCGCTTCTGTTTTTGAAATCACACTAAAACAGTGGGAAGCAAGTCCACAGAAGTCATCTGGTATACAATAGCACGCCTAAACTTTTAGACTATATCATAACATATTAGAATTTTTGACAGTTGCTTTACCTAATAATGTAAGTGCAGTGTTTGCCTACTAATTAGTAGGTTATTTTAAATAAACATGACTTTTGACACCCCACAACGCAATATTCCTTGGGGCTAGACCCAATCTTATCAAGCCATGAACGTTACAAAAATGTAATTTTGCTCTATTGCATCACAGTTACAATTATTAGATACTCTTAATTTCAGCCTTTTTGTTTTGTTTATTTTTGTCATTCTAATCCCACTTCTAGAATTTGTCGGGTAAATGTTACACTTGTCATGCTATCTTTCACTCTTAATTCGCCCTAACGACTTTCAGGTGTGACGCGAATTTACTACAGACCTAACGCAACGCAGAAGACAGAGTGGCTACCAACCACACAGAACGCGACTTCTTACAACATTTAATTCACCTAAGTGATTTATCCAATGCAATCTATGACTTGCCAAGATTGTCCTAGAAAATTGGAGGTCGAACGCTACATTAAAGAGCATAAGATTGATGAAATGCTCCAGAACTTGACGTCTTCTTTGTTCTATCAAATGCCAGGTAGGTATATATACAACCCATTTTATTCCTAAAATATCCATTTTAATATATATATATATATATATATATATATATCAGTCAGGTTTACCACAGAACCTGACACATGTGGTCGTCATTTGTTAATATTGCTTCTCACACTTGAATTCGCAGCCTCCTGTCAATAGGAAGTAATTATTTCTTCTCTTTGTAACAACTCAGTGTTAAATTGGTGTTTATCTGATTTCAGGTTCAGATTTGTTTAGTAAAGACAGAAGGCCTACGGCCTATGTTGTTTCTTTTCTAGTATGCTTCTGTGAGTGTCCAGTCTTCTCTAGAATGAGTCAATTGAAGGTGCAGACACCACTGCTTCGGGCAGCAGGTTCCAAGTAGGAGTATAATCCAGTGAAATAAGTTTGGAAAGAGAAAAAAAGAAAGGGATATGAAGAATTCAAAAGATTAGAGCTTGTCAGAACACAAAGAGTGGACGCACCTTCGTCATTGCAAACAATTTGAGCCATGTCATTCAAGGTCTCTAACCATCGATTGCTATCATCTCGCGGATCCCAACCAGGAAGTCTACACCAACCAACATAGTTCAGTCCAATTGTCTGTGACTTCATGGATTTGTGCCATATTTTGGTTTGACCGCCCCTAGCTTTCTTCCAACCTACTCTTACGTCATAAAACATAGTAGAATAATGATATGTCTTTCATACTCCAATGAAAAGAAAGTAAGATTTCTAACGGTCTTCAACTTAGTTCAGGTCACTTCTTCAGAATAAATAAATAACCGAATTAAATTAATACAATTTTGAACAGTATAGAGTAACAGCATAGAATATGTAGTTCAATCAAAATCAAAATACTTACTCACTTACTTACGCCTGTTACCCCTCGTCGAAGAGCATAAGCCGCTCACCAACATTCTCCATCCACTTTTGTCCTGAGCTTTCCTTTCCAGTTCTTTCCAGTTGTAATTCAACCTTTTCAAAATCAAAATAGGTTTGATTATATCAATTTCGCTTCATAATCATCAAGATGATTCTTTGTTGAACATCATTATGTGTGTGTTTATGTGTATAGATTGAGTTCATTCTCAACTTTGCTTGCTTCTAACTTAAAATTGTGTTTAGCCATTTAAAATGTCATGGATGCGCATTACTGAGGAGTCTCACAATAGGATGAAACGGCCATCCAGTACTTCCAGGTTTTTCTTGGTAGTCTAATTTCAATTGACTCATGTCTTTAACCACATAAAACTCTTTTGTATTAATCTTTATAGATCAGAAGGGGATTTTGTGGATATTTCAATATTTTCATAGTCGAAATCATGAGTCAACTGAAGCTAGACCACCATGGAAAACCTGGAGGCACTGGACGGCCGTTTCGTCTTATTATGGAACTCCTCAGCAGTGCACATCCACGATCCCACACCCGCGAGATTCGAACCTTGGATCTACCTGCTTCGCGCCGGAGCACTTAACCGATAGATCACTGAGCCGGCATTCAACGGTGTTAATGTCTAACTTCAACTGATCCAAGAAGTTGAGCAACCGTCCACCAATTGTCTTCAATCCCATAATAGAACGAAACGGCCGTCCAGTGCTTCTAGGTTTTCCATGGTGGTCTAACTTCAATTGACTCGACTTCAACAATAAAAATATTAATCTTTACATATGATCTCATAATGTAAAGTTACTTCTAATCAATAATTTATTAACATTTTAGAAAATCCAAAACAATATTTAATTGAACAATTAAAATTATTAAAAGCTTCACGAGATGAATTCGCAGAACCGCCAACATTGTTTACTGAAAATAATGCCGAGACAATATTCAACATGCTTGATCCATGTAAAAAGAATTCAATTCCTTCAGATCGATATCAACATGCTTTGGAAACATTGGGGGCACTTCACTGTGGTAAGGTGTTAGACAACAAAGATGAATTCATTAGTAAAGATATGTATATGAATGTCGTGTAAGTAGTTGTTTCCTATTTGGTTTAAAAGTTATTGTTATTAGTAAAACAGGTTTGAAACAAATGGCATCAACTTATAAACCAATTGGATAAGTCGCGGGAAAAAGAAAGTGGTAACAAAGAAGATTCACATTCGCATTGATGATGATAATAATGTATTGTATAACAATAAAGTAACGGCGTGTAATATGACTCAAATAAAAAAAATGATGTAAATTAAACTTTCCTTAATTGCCCAATTCTTGCTCTTATTTTTGGTTATTTCAGAGACTGGTAGGTCCTAGGTTTGAATCTCGCGAGGCAAGGTCGTGGATGCGCACTACCACTGAGGAGTCCCACAATAGGACAAAACGGCCATCCAGTGCTTCCAGGTTTTCCATGGTGGTCTAGCTTCAATTGACTCACGCTTTCAACTATTTCAATTTTCTAAATAGACTGAAAACGATTTCGATAAACTGTGTTGTAAAAGAGTTTATCTTACTTCAAGAATAAGTGATAGGTATGTTTTATGTAAAGGGAATGCATACAGATAAAAGTTAATCAACAGATTAGAAGTTAACCATTGACCTGATTATTCAAATGTCAGTGATTTATTGTTTAGTATACTTACTTACCTATGCCTGTTACTCCTCGTGAAGGAGCATAAGCCGCACACTAGTATTCTCCATCCAATCCTGTCCTGGGCAATCCTTTCCAGTTCTTACCAGTTGTTATTCATCCTTTTCATATCTGCTTTTATTTCCCGGCCTAATGTGTTCTTTGATTTTCCTCTTTTCCGCTTCCCTTCAGGATTCCAAGTTAGGAATTGCTTCGTGATGCAGTTTGGTGATTTCCTTAATGTATGTCCTATCCACTTTTAACGTCTTTTCCTAATTTCCTCTTCAGCTGGAAGCTGTTTAGTATGATCAGGTAGAAATAGCAAAGTTATGAGATGAGCTAAGATGACAAGCTGTGTCGTAATGTTTTGTAGGATAACTTAAGCCATGAGATTTTGACGCTCATTTTCTCTGGTTGATTGATTTACAAAGTGGAAAAACTAAAGATTGTGGAATGAAAACCATTCACACTTTATGAAAACGTTTATTTAACAATGTCCATAGACATTTATATCAGAAGGGGTTTTGTGGATATTATCGTAATTTTAATAGGTGAGATCATGAATCAATTGAAGCTATACCACCATGGTAAACCTGGAATCGCTGGACGGCCATTTCATCCTACTGTGGGATTCCTCAGCAGTGCGCATCCACGACCTCGCCTCACTAGATTCTAACCCATGACCTACCAGTCTCGAGCCAGAGCCCTTAACCGATAGATCACTGAGCCGGCATCCGACGGTGACTTTAGTTGTGTAAGATAGTTATTTGACCTACCTTGCAATATATTACTGAATATCAGTGTGATAAAAGTTAGTAGAATCACGAATTTTAACACCAGTTTCAACGAAATGAATCATGGTATTACATACTGACTAAATGTGTCCAGTTTGACCACATTTAAAGCATTCAGAATTACGAAATACACATGAATTACATAGGTGAAACTTGCCACAGAACAAGAATTTACCAAACTTGTGTTTCACAATTTAATTAGCTGTTATCTGAATAACTTTGGTTACCTATTGGACTGCGACCACGTAGTAAAGTAATGGAGTTCCTGGTGTCCTAAGGAATCAGTTTTTGAATCTTTTCTCCTTTACTGCATTCGAAATTTGTATATTTTACATAGTCCAGTAGTAGTTGCTTGAGAGTTGCAATGGAGAGTGAAAGAAGTTTGCCTGGAAATGACAAAATCTTTGTTAAGCTGTATGCTTCTTTTCCGATGAATGTAAGGAAATGAGTCACGATATTAAAATCATCATCATCTTCCTTGATTATAGCCTAGATTTCAAACCTCTCCATGTAATCTTCAAAAGCATTGAAATCTGAACGCTTATCCAAGTGTTCCATCACAGGCTCCATTGCGACGCAAATGTGATAATCGGAAGTATTTGAATTGTATTATAACTTAGTAATCCCAGCAATAACGCAATGCAATCAAGAAGTATTAGATAAGCACGAACGAATGTACTGTATTTGGAATTCAAAATCAAAACAGTCATCAATACAAGGGAATCATTGATTCTTATGAACACCACACTACTTATCAGCCAATCAAGAAGCACTGCCTTGTTATAAAACAACTAACGATTGAAAGCAATAAAATTACCGTTGAATAGTGGTTCGGATATGGTTAATCATCCTTGACTTAATAATTTATTATGGTAAAGGAATAAGGTCTAGTTTACATATTAGAAGTTAGGCTAGGGTTGATAATAAGGATTATGATCCTATAGGGTTTTCACCGCTAATTAACATCAACTTTAATTCAATGAAGCTTTACCACTCCTTTGTTTAGAGTTAGAGAATACCATATAGAGCTACACAAATACCTTTGACTATACAGTAAATGAAATTGAGTACTCTAACGTACAATCTGCAGAAATAGGTATTTATTGTGATATAGCTTGAACATACTATCATATTTGGATAGTAGGTGTTTTTATCGATTTCAAGTATTTTAGAAATCGAATATTTTCATAGTTGAAATCATGAGTCAATTGAAGCTAGACCACCATGAAAGAAAACCTGGAAGCACTGGACGGCTGTTTCGTCCTATTATGGGACTCCTCAGCAGTGCGCGTCCACGATCTCGCCTCACTAGATTCGAACCCAGGACCTAACAGTCTCGCGCTAGAGCATGATTTCAACTATAAAAATACTGAAATCTCCAAAAAACCCCTTCTGATCTATAATCATATACTCACTAGTGACTGACTTCAAGAGATATTTCCTGGAGTTCTAGTGGGAAGCAGTGACCAGTGGAGTTCAACTACGTCTGTTGTAGAGATATCAACTAACTGAAGACAATTGGCGAATGATTGCTCAAACATCGTGGATTGGTTGAAGTTAGACATTAACATCGTTGGATGTCGCCTCAGTGGTCTGTCGGTTAAGTGCTCTGGCTCGAGACCGATAGGTCCTGGGTTCGAATCTAGTGAGGCGAGATCGTGGAAGCGCACTGCTGAGGAGTCCCATGATAGGACGAAACAGCCGTCCAGTGCTTCCAGGTTTTCTTTCATGGTGGTCTAGCTTCAATTGACCCATGATTTCAACTATGAAAATACTGAAATATCCACAAAACCCTTCTGATCTAAAATCAAATATTGCCAATTTTTTAGTTATTTCCTAAAAAAATATACAAGCTATCTAGCACTACACTTTTAATTTAGAGTAAACATTTACGAGGTACTATTGTAGTGAATAAGAACACGAGTGGGGACAGTCGAATGTATTTGACACTACAATTACATACTATCTCACTAACATCTGATAACCATGCAGTAAACAGTTAATTTGCAAACTATTAACCAATGGTCTCAATCTTGACCATTCCTTCTGTAAATATCAGTCCGTCTTCTCTGATTTGATTGTTCATTCGTTTTCGTACCGATTGCGCTTCATTCCGGTTCTTTCTTTATCGATCTTCTGCCAAACTACATTCTATGTCTGACCATCACTATATACTACTTATATGGATAAAAGTAGACTACACCACACTATCTTAATTTTGATTGTTTCATTCACGGCTATGAAGTATAGTCTACCTTCTTCCTACAGAATTTAGAATTTTCCGGAAAAAAACAACATCGAAATAATTAAAAAAATTGTTATCCTGTGCTTTGACTTGGACCAGTTAATGAACAGTCAGAAAGACAGAACAACTTTATGGGAATAAAATTCAAATGAGACATGATTACACTATTTTAGAGTTGAGATCAGTCAGTCAGATACAACGTAGGATCAGGCACATATATGCATCGGTCTAAGTTGCCATACATAGTTGAGATCACTATTACGTAATTAAGTCAATGATAAATACAAGTCAATATTGTTGTTTGTATCATCATGGTGTCTTATCTGGTAAGTTCGTTAGAAGGTCTTAGTTATTTTTGTTCCGATTATGACTTTTCGATCTACGACCTGAGGAAAAGTAAGTTGGCACAATATACCACATTGCACGTCGAGGAATCATTTGAACAACAGAATAGAAAAAAAATAACGTAACAATGAATTACGGCTTGTTATGTTTGTTTTTTGATAAGTCTTGCCAATTGAACGCTATACACGCATCCTAAAGCTAGTCTCGTAACCCCCATGCTAGAACTACACAGCGACTTCAACACGAGTGAAAAGGCACAAAATATGCAAGAAGCACTTTACTTTAAAGGTTCATTTATGTATAGAAAATATAGGGCTTTTCTAGCATTTTAGAAGTTCTAGGGTTTTCCTGAAAGTTCTAGAATGCTACTAAACATAGTAGCAGTGTTGGTAATCAGCCAATCAGAATCTCTACATGTGACTTTGCACTTTGATGATGTTTCTGTCAGAACTTCTAATCAAACGCTGATTGGATAAAAGTGCTTCTTAATGTTTCCTCAGCTTGTCATGTCTTTTGCATGGAATTTTCAGGATCGCCCCAACAGTTTTGAGTACACACCTCAAAGTACTTCAACTAAGTCAGTGATCTAAACTTATCTTTTCTATACTGTTTTCTATTATCTAATGAAATAAAGCCATCTGTTATGTACATAGGACTCTTTATAAACACTGTTTTATAATCTGATTAGAAATTATGTTCAAGGATTCTAATTCACCGCTTAAATCAATAGATGAAATTCACCATACACATTTAATAATGTTATATCCTAGTGAAGATATTGAGTACGGGTAACTCCTAGGATCTATGAATGGACGACTATTCTATATATATTCTTATTGAGTAACTGGATTATGTATATCTATATTCATCTTATTATAAGCTTCATTTCGATCTATGGATTATTATTATACGAATTACTGTCCCGAAATTATTGTCTCCCACGTTCACAGCCACATTTGGCTTGATCTTGTACAAATATTATTTTCTATTTTATGGTGTGATACGGTCTGTCTGTCTGTCTACTATATAAACCGAGTATGCTAGAAATAAATGATTAGGATAACAGAAAGTGTAATTGGTGTTCTGGACTAAATTGGAAGGGCTAGGCGGAC